AAGATTACTGTGGGGTTTGAAAGCATAGTTGTCAGCAAGTCTAGAAACATTATATTTCGAATCTGTGAAGCTTCTGGAGTATTGGCAAATTAAAGAGCTGTTGCATCAATAGTATTACTTAGGAATGCTTCCTTCATAAGCAAAATGAAATCCTTTTTGACTTTTGCAGAATAGACGGTAAATACAAAATCAAACTCCCAGATGAGTGATACAGGCAGCTGTCTGTTCCCACTTCTAGCTCATCAGACCCGGTTATGGAGTAGGAGAAAGATAAGGAGTCAGAGTACAATTAGAAAACAAGAAAGTGAGGGACACTTTCAAAACCACACAGTGTTGACCTGATTCTGTGCTCACTGAAATCAGTAGTTTCTACTGTTTGCTAAAATGGGCAGTGGAAATTTGCTATTTGTTGTCCATTTCAAGAAAACTGTTTCCAGAGTCATTTAAAACGCTCGTAGTGATAGTATTAGAACAAAAGGTTACCTAAAAATAGACCGACTCACTGCCGTACATGAATATAGCAATGATCTGCATTGTTAAACATTTTATGTCTTTTCTCTTTTCCACTTTTCTTCTTTTCTTTTCTCTCTCTCTCTCTCTTTTTTTTTCTGGCATGACAGCATGACTTTATTCCAAAAAAGAATACATTCTTCCTTTCCAAAAAAACATATACTTGAAACATGCAGCATTTTTTGATAAACTATTCTGATTATCTGACCCAAGTTTTGTTAATATTACTACTTAATCTAATGAAATTCCTACATATTTAGCAGCTGTTTTATTTAAATTCAAGTAGAGGCTTAAAGGAGACTGATCAAGTTCATGAAAGCAGAGCCAGTTGAGAATTACTAAATATATGGAAGCCACACGTGGTTCAAAAAGTCTCTGAGCACCACAGACTGTTGCGGGCTTGTATATCGGGGAAGTATGAGTGAAAGCTTCCTCTGTTCTTGCACTCTTACTACACATCCACTTTAGGCCATTGTCAAAGGAGGATCTTTGCTTTTATGCTTTTACCCATGTGGGCAGTGTCAGATAGAAGAGTTCTGTGAGATTTTTCTAAGAGGAAACTCAGCTTCTCCTCCAGATCCCTAAGCCAGCCTCACTTTTTCTGGTCCCCTGTATAACTAGAGCCTTTCCCAGGCCTGTGAGAAAAGCACTGCAAAAACATCAGTGTCCCTTTCCCCCAGCTACAGCTGTAGAAGTCAGCAGGTCGCCCCTGTCTGCCTCCACTCTTTTGCAACCTGCTTCTGCCACATCCACAGCATCAAATTTTGCCTTGTAGATGTGGGGAGGTGCTGGCAGGTGAATAAAATACTCTGAACACTTGAAGTGCTGCTATAGGGTGGAAATACTTTGTGTAGATTTGGGGGAAGGGAAGCAGGATATTTTTTAAGGTGACGAAAGTTTATCTGGGTAGGAGAAGAATTCTTCACCGCCTGCCGTTGTTTTATACCATCAGTCACAAATGTGTGAGTAATGAATTAATACTTGTGAAGCTCTTTGGGTGCAAACTGTAATACAAGTTCCAATTGTTGTTGTTTGTATTTGTTCATGGTTAATATTTGTTTCCTTTTCCAGCTTCCTGGTTAATATTATTTCTTTTAGTTTGTGGTTGATTATGTAAAATGATGTATGCGCTAACTGCTGACTTTGACCTTCTCCAAACCTTTTATACTCTCTTTAGGAAAGAGGCTTTTACTGAGGCTCATGGAGCACGAAGAGGGGTACAAAAAGTAATGGTTATTGTGACTGACGGGGAATCACATGACAACTACAGATTAAAAGAAGTGATTGATAATTGTGAAGATGAAAACATTCAGAGATTTGCTATTGCTGTAAGTGAAATGTAATGTGAAAAATATGAATCTTAAAAGCATGTTTCATCTTGCAAATGTAATATCTGTTAAAAAGTTTGTTTCGCATAATCTTTATGGAAGTATAATCATTTGAGAGAGGTAAAAAAGAAGAGGTGAAAAGCTTAACAAATTTAAAATTTGCTTCCTGATTTTATAACACATAAGAAAACGCAATCTATCTGTCTTCCTGGTGGAGGCAGGTGTGTGTGTGTGTGTGAAGAAAAGGAGAGCGAGATTGAGGGGCCTATAAAATGTAGTCTTTTTTGCTAGCAGCAAGAGTGAACGGAGTGGATTAGTTTGAATCTTCTGAGCATTTGCTAAAAACGTATTACCCGCTATGTTTTAAAGAAATAAACCGGCAACAAAAAAACAGGTTTATTCACAGCTGTTCTGTGTGCTGGGATTCTAAAGTTTTTGTTTTCATGTTAAGCGAACTCAATAGCTCAGTGGGAGGATGAGCATGGTGGAGGTTAACTCATACAGACAAATATGAAGACATTAAGGACAGATTTTGTGTGAACTCTCTACTTTACTGTGTTGTATTTAGGAATCATCTGTTTTCTCTGGTTGATTTTTATAGTATATTGGAATTGTTTCTTTTCCTATGCTCATATGTCTCTTTATGTTTTCTAACAAGAACACCTGTCTTACAATGCTCCATAGTTTTGAATGCAGAGCAAATAATTTCCAACTGTAAAACCAAATGACATAGTGTAAGTTTTCCTTTTCCTCTTCGTACCTTTAACCTCTGGAAGCATTGTTATAAGATGCTCAAGCAGCTTGAGGCTACTGGCTACAAAGGGGTGGTTTGGAACCAAACATTTTCAAAAAAGAGGTAGTCTTTAAATAAAAAAAAAGCATGAAACTAAAGTTGACTGCAGTAGCACACAAATTTTCAGTAGTTTTCTTTGTAAAGCTAGAGATCATTAAATAAAAATTCCTCACTGAAACTCAGTAATTTTTGGCAATAAAATTCCTGCCTAGAACCAAATTTCAGTTGCTCCAGTGCCCGGGAATGCTAGGACGTGGAACTTTGTTTTTGATTCCCTTCTCAAAGCTAGTAAGTGTATAGAGCAAGTTTTTCTATGAAATTCAGTTAAGTATTCCTCAGTCTGGGAATTAAAGAAGTGAGCCATTTTGTTCTGAGGCACGCTGAGTTTTTATGGCAGTAACGTTAAAGCTGGGAACTAAGTCTGAAGTCTTTTACCCCAATGGAGTCATTAACACTGAATGGAAGTGGTGGTGTTATATGTATTTATAGGGCTATAGTTTTGCATGGAACAAAGAGCAACTATCCTGTGCCTAATTAGGCGTGTCATTAATTGTCCACATACTGCATTATAAGGAGAACTGGTAGCACCTATGCAGAAGCCACTGCAATTGTGTATTCTGTTTTTTTGAGGTTTTTTTGTTGTTTTTTTTTTTCTAAACTAAGGTCTACTTGAACAAGTCATTAGAATTTTATAAGGAAAGGGGAAAAAAGGACAGCTGAGGATAGCAGACATTACACCATACAGTTGCTTTGGTTGCTATGGTAGGTGTTTTCAGAAAAAAAACTAAGACCTCATACACTTCTGTTCTCACTGGAAAAGAATGGCTTTAAATCAATGTAGACTAGAAATTTGAGGGAGGTTTTAATAGAACAAATTAAGGTGAAGAATGATTTCCTAATATTCTCTGACAGCCTGCCTCAAACTTATCTTTAAGGTATAAAATGTATCCTTGACTTTTTTTAAATTCTTTTCAGATTCTTGGCAGCTACAGCAGAGGAAATTTAAGTACGGAGAAATTTGTGGAGGAAATAAAATCAATTGCCAGTGAGCCTACTGAAAAACATTTCTTCAACGTCTCAGATGAATTAGCTCTTATAACTATTGTTGAAGCACTAGGAGAGAGAATATTTGCCTTGGAAGGTATGACATTTCTTTACATTTTACTTCATGCCTGCATTACAGCTGAAGTAAATACTAGACCACTTGCTCTTATCTTCTTTGTTATGTATTGTGCTGCATAAGATGTATATTTTTATCATGCTGATCATAAAGATATTTAACAATAGATATCAAAAAAGGTAGATAATGATGTGAAATATGTTCCGATGGATTAGAATAGGTGGAGACAGCAGCCTAGAAGGAGAAGAAGGGTCACTATCGTAACCATTGCCATTTTAGCCCAGGTTAAATAAAGGGTTGCCTTTCGCTAGGTGAAGGAGCATTGCAAGAGCATATCCTAGATTACTCCATGATCATATTTTCATCTTCCAACACTTCTAAGTTCTCTTTTTGGTTAGTTATTAATTACAATGTACTACTTTGATATACAAGTTAACATGCACTTCATGTATAGAGTTAGCAGCATGTATTTTTACTTTGGAAGTTTTCCTGATCTCCAGGTTTTAGTAGGGAAAAGTCACCATGTCATAATGTCTGCTTACATTCTCCATCCAAATTAGGCAACATTGTCCGACTTTTTTGTTTCAAGTACGGTACTAATAACGAAAGACTACGTTTATTAATTATAAATTATACTGGCCCTCTCTGAAAGAATTAGTGTCATACAAGGAAAATATCTGTTCGGACTTATTTTTTTCAACATCTCAACTTTCCAAGTAGTTGGCATAGTGTAGTTTATAGCTGGAACAAAGGATAATGTTGATTTGAATGTCAGTAAATAATTCAGCTATGCCAGATTATTTTAATCCATTTTAAATTGGAATTATGCTTCTTGGACATATTTAGATATCTTGATAGTTTGATCAAATATTACTATTTTCAATGGGTTATTAATAGACATTTGTCCGGTTTATATATTCTTTTCCTTTTCCTTTTCCTTTCATGAAATATTTTGTTTCCTCACTTGCAAAACAAATTTATTTGTAGAGAACTTAATCTCTCTAAAGACCAAAGTTTAGCCCACTTAAGCTCATTAAGTACTTTCAAGTTTATTGAATAGGGGCTCTTTTGTTAAGCCCCTGTTCAATAGGAAGAATAAAATTTCAGTGAAAAACTAGTTGGTTGAAAGTTAGAGATAATATTTCAAACATAAGGGGACAAAATATTGAAAAGTTAGTCTTCAGTTTGTGCTTTGTACTGCTAGAAAAGTGAGAAAACTCATTGTCTTTTATTATGTTAAAAATATGTTAGTTGTACCCATTCAATATATTAGATATGTAATAAAAACTTAACCAACTGCTTTACTAGTCCAGGACAACGGACTAAGGATAAGATTATAAAATCTGAAGTGATTGAATTTCTTGACATCAGCACAGCGGTGTGCGCTCAGACTTAGGTTTCATGTTACAGCTAAACCTGTAGAACAGTTAGATGCCACTGAGAGAGACAGTCTCACTTCATCACACCTCTGCCTTTCCACTTTTCGGCAGTAGGTAGCCGTTGGATAGGCTTAGCTGTCACATAGGACCCCAACCTGCCCAAATAGTGAAGTGAACTATGCTGACTTCAACTCCCTGTTGATGGATGATGCTTTATATTATGAGCTCTAACCCTCTCACTGATGATAGTAATTTGTTCCTCTAAGCAGAAGAAAAAATGAGAAGGCATTTGATCACTGAACAATTTATATAGCTTAATAAAATATCCAAACAAATGTTGTGTTGGAGATGATGAAACTGATTTGTTAAATTGTAGAAATAGTTTTATTTTAGATAGACGTGGTTGTATTACAAAAAATATGTATTCAAAACAAAAAATTTTAAGAGGAGCTAGTTAATTTCACCACACTCCTTGGATTCTTAGTTTTCCCTTTTTAGATCTATGCTAGGAAATCAGAGTCTACGCTAAGATTTCTACATAAGATATCTGTTATACAAGACAAGAAATTATGCCCACTACTCTACCTGTGGAATTCACAGAAATGGCAAGATGGGAAATCGGAATGGAAACTGAAATATGGGATCTTAGCTTTATGTCAAAACCTAGGGAGGCTGAGTTGTACCCAGGGTTAGTAAAGCTGGAACTATAAGATGCTGATTAAATCCATTTCTGTTGATTCTTCAGCCGTGGTTTCCTGTCCCACCCAAAGCACTTCAGGAGATATTCTAGATTGGCAACTGTCTCCATTATGCTGGAGAAAAATAGATTAATTCTGTCCCACCCAGATTTCTTGTGACAAATCCAGTTTATTGGATGTGTGCAATTTGGAAAAGATTAATTAACTGTATACGATGTAGCTGAGTTAACTTCTGTACACGACAGGGATGTCACAGGAAACTTGATTCTTGGAATTCTGTATCTGAATGCGTTTAAGTTTTCAATCTGAATAGCCTCCTACTAATGTAATAGTACATTGATTTTCTCCTGGATTTCTTGTTTCCTTTTTGGTTTTGATCTTTAAAAAAATCAGCAAAGGAAAAATGAGAGAGAGTTTAAAAATCAAATCCAACAAAAACCCACACTTGACAACCAGTGCATTTTTACACATAATCTTTTTCATATGCCTCTGTGTCTAAGGGCATGGACTTCTGGTTTTAACAGCAGTTTTATGTTTTATCCAGTCTGTAGGCTGGCACAAATATTTTTGACAAAACATCCTTTGTAGAATGCTTGGCAGTCTGAAACTCAATGGAAAGTCAAGAGTGCGGGCTGTTATCTAAGCAGCATTCAGAACTGCATATATTAACAGTAGCAGCATTGTCCTCTGCCTGAAATTAGAGGAGTCCTGTCTTTCTCAGATCGTTCAAGAGCATCCTTTATTGAATGATTAATGCTATCACTGAAAAATATTAATTATCAGCAAATACACAGCTTAGGAATGCAATACTTAAAAAGGACTATAATTTTTTCAGACTTAGCAAAGCAGTTACATCTTGTGAAATTTGATGGTCTGTGTTTGCATGTCAAACGTTTTGTGTTTGAGATCATGTCTCCCTCCCTTCCATGGCTGGTCATAAATCTCCACAGTTGGCAAAGACACCACGTCCAAGTGGACAACCTGTGTGGTTCAGCTGCCGAGTTTCACAAGTTCAGTTCAGTTTTATTTGGTAGTCTTGCTGCCTGAACTTGGCGCAGCCGTGGCGTGCTGCACGTCAGTTTCCTGCCCGCTGTTGGAAGTTGGAAGTTTGCCTCGGTACTCGGCTGGTACCAGATTGTGAATTCTTCCTGGATGAGCCTCAGAACAGATTTCCTAGTTCCCCTCCTCTTCCTGTTACCATGTGTTGCTCTCAGGGAGGAATCAATATGCAGAATATAGTTAACCTACTTCAGCATTTATCGTGGCGAAGTAGTCATTGGGTATTGCTTCTAAGTAGAGGAAAAGACAAACCTTTCTCATCCCTGAAGATATTTCCTGTGTACCTGAGGACAAAGAAACTTGAAGTCCCTTTGGAGTTTAATGTGTGGCGTATGACTACCTGAAAAAATAGTGACAGTAATGCTAAACCACTTGACTCCTTTTTTTATTCCAAGTCACATAAGAGAAACAGGAAGATTTTCATGCAACTTTCTGAGAAGGATTACAGTTCCCAAGCCCCTCCCTGAAGCTTATGAATTTTGGACAGCTGAAATTTTCCTACATTGTTTTTTACGGAGGTTCATACAATCTAAACATCAAATGTTTTTCATTTAAATTTTACCAGCTGCCTACAAATTTTTAGTTACGTGAATACAAGGCCAGAGTTACATGGATGGTGTTTTATTTTTCACTTAGCTCAAGTGGAAAATGGCTTAACCATCTTAATCAAACATTCCAAACATATTTACCATCGGCCTGAGGTCAGATCTGGTCAGTTTCAGTCCAGAAATATTTGTTGGACAAGTTGTAATACATGGCCTTAAAATGGAAACAGCTTCTCATACTTAATGGTGGTATTTAATATGCAATGCACTTTCTGTATATATTGTAAAATTCTGTAGCAAATTATACTCTGGTTAATATGTTATCTGAATATTCTGGTTAATTATGTTATCCCTTACTGTCATATCAACATTTCGTTACGCTATTCAGAAGTTTTTTCAAATTGAATTTCATTATTTTTAAAACTTTTTATTTTTTATTTTTATTTCTGTTTAATAGCAACAACAGACCAGCAGGCAGCCTCATTTGAAATGGAGATGTCTCAAGCTGGTTTCAGTGCTCATTATTCTCAGGTAAACAAACTGTTTAAAAATAGAAATTCTTTTTCAGTGTAGATTTTTATTGGCAATAACATGAATTTGGAATGAGTATTTCAGAATTCTTTGTATAGTTCTGTTACTTGTTTGCTGTCGGAAGTTTTGGATCTTCCTGTAATTCAGTTAGTCTTTGTGAATATATATAAAGAATAATTATAAACAATGAGTTCTTAAGAGAATAAGTACCTCGTTCACATTAACTTTAAATTTTATGTGCACATAGCATTTTCTTATCAGTGAAATATTATGTAAAATGCTAATAGCGTTGTAACTATTCTATATAAATATTACTGTGTAGTTATTGTATTGAGTTGTTGAAATGTAAACAGAAGATGTATACAATGGATAGTTTCTGTAATAGATATGACTGCATTTTTAGCGACACAACATATTATTGGTTCCATTAATACATTGAATGTCTCAGTTTTCAAGGGGTAAATATTTGTTAAACTGGGATGCAAAAATCCTTTGGAATTTTTAAGGCAGAAAATATTTGTTTATTTTTGAAAAATAAAAAGTACCCATTATGTTTATCTGCTCAGTGTATGCAATTGAAATGGAAATTATAAATGAGATCAAAAGGACTGGAAAAATTTATGCTTTAGAGATATTAAAAAGTAGTGACAGTGGAAAAGAACACGATAGGAGAGTCACTGAACTGAGCAAACACTGAGCAATGCAAGACAAACTGACTCACGTGTAAAAGACCTTTAACATGGCTTTGTATACAGGTCAGCATATCACTGGTGAAACAGAGAATAAAAAACCTTATTCAGTATGATTTAACATAAATACTTAACAGAAATACTCTCCATCCATTTTCACTCTCTGAACTTTGAAATTCTACATTATGATTCAGCCAGTGTACCAGACCCTAGAAAGAGCTATTATCCTTATAGAGAGCCCAAGGAAGATTTGCAAAATAGTCTATTCGGTAGAGCAGATGCTTGAAGATACCAAGGAACTATCTTGCTACCGTCAGAGTCTCACTTCAGAAGTGAGTCTTCAGTTGTTGGGACTTTGATAGGTGCAGGGTGTCTGGTGACTTTCTTATTTAGAAGGCTATATTCATGGCTTTATGTAAAAAAGGTCAGCAAACGATTGACATCATTGACAAGAGGCTCTCTTTCAGTCCTCACAGGTTCCACAGAGAAAGGTTCAATTTTCTAAAAGTTTACCTGAGGAATGCATTTAAGTTTTGTATTCTCTAATGAGCTTTGCTGCTTCCTCTTTGTCTTTCTATTTTGCATGAAATGGTGGACTGAAATCGCAGGAGTCATGTTTCACTGTGCTGCTTTTCCTGATTGGCCAATGCTTTTTTAGTTGTGTTTGATTTTAATAAAGAGGGGGAGATATACCAAGACTGTGGGGCACCATACTATAGTAGAAAAAGTAGGGCTAAACCTTGCATACATATAGGAAGCATTAACTAGACATGAACATCGTGACTAATGCAGATCTCGAGTTGGTTCATGTAAAGAACAGGGTGTTTTGTTTTTCTCTGCAAAAGGATTGGGTCATGCTTGGAGCAGTTGGAGCATATGACTGGAATGGCACAGTGCTCATGGTGAAGGACAGCAGTATTTCAATGCCAACTAATGACACTTTTCGTGACAGGCGCTCAGAAAAAAATGAACCCCTTGCAGCCTATCTAGGTAAGAGAAATATGTATCTCATAACACTTCTCAACAAATTCTACAAGTCCTCTCTCAAATCTCATTAATAAAGATTATCCTATTTTCTAGGAGTCTAGGAAAATGTATAATGTATGGATGTGTCATCTGTATAATATTTTGCTGTTTAAAAGTAAAAAAAAGCATTACTTCTGCAAGCAAAAGACTAGTAAGAATGCGTACAGCCTTAAGCATATCTAGACTGTCCTCAGTAGAGCTATCTAATTTGTTCAGGGAGGAGGATTTCCCTAGAATTCTTCTCAAGGTTTTCTCTGCCTTCGTAGCTAGAAAATGTTCATACGATAGTGAATCTTAAACTTCTTTGCTGAAAATGAAGTTTCTTTCTTTCTGTCTTTCACTCAGTGGACAAGAACAACAGTTTACCACAAACCTCCTTCTGTGTGTTTTGCGTAATGGCAGACTACTGTTTTCCTCTCAGCCTTTACTGTAGAAAAGCAACTCAGTGGCCTTACTCTGTCCTCTAGGAGAGGCTTTATACACCCCACCCCACCCCATTTTATTTCATCTGCAAATTTCATAAGTCTTCCATCATCCAAATTGTTAGTGACAATATTAAGTAGAAGTAGGTTCAAAATGCCCCCAGAATCATGCTTGGAAGGCTCTATCAGTTTGACAGGGACAACAGAGTCAGTGACAACTGTTCTTTGGAAGAAGCTTTTCAACTAGCTATTTACCAGTTATTTCATCAGTACCATCATCATCATAGAGTATGTAAGAATGGCAAAGTGAACAGTGTCAAAAACTGCTGAAGTTAGGACATATCATCCCGTCAACGGGTTTAATGACTCAATGGTGCTCATGCCTCTGTGAGACTGTAGGTAAATACGCATCCAGCCCTTTTATTTGACTTAACTAGCATTCTCTAGAATAAGTATTGCTAAACATCTAATTGTAGAGTCAAGCCTTAAAAAAGCTCTGTATCACAGCAAGTATTTCTGACGTGTGCTATGTGTACTGCATCTTGAATTCTTTTGTTTCCTAGGATATACTGTGAACTCAGCATTGACGCCTGGAGGCGTACTATACATAGCAGGGCAACCTCGATACAATCACACTGGCCAAGTTATCATTTATAAAATGGAAGGAAAAGAGGTACAAGTACTTCAGAGGTTAAATGGAGAACAAGTGAGTATGCATTTATGATTAACATATAAGAGAAATATGGCATGAGAAGCAGAAGTAGTGATTTCAAATGAGAACTCTGTATCAGAAGAGCAAATGAAACTGTAAGTTGTAAGCAAGACCAGAAACAAAGGTTAAGTAGATGCTCTGATCGAATATAGAATGGTAAGTGGACTTAGAGTAGTCAGAGTCCCTTGGAAATTTTCTCTATGTGGGGTAGACCTTTGCTGATATCAAAGTGGTTACTGCAATCTCTGCACTCCTAGTTTTCTCTATGCTTTGAATGGAAGGGGTATATCATGGGTGGGAAATGGGTGTGATATGGAGGGTTTCATGGAGGATCATCAACTGGGATAGCACAAAATATTGAATAGCTGCTTGATGTACTGAGTAGCAACTCACTGAGAGCTGTTCCTGCAGGAAAAAAATCACATGTAATCACATAATTAAAGATGGTAGTATAATATTATACACAAGAGGGTTGAAAGACCTTTCTGTTCAAGTCTCCTCAGGTTGCAGTCCAGTATTCCTTCAGTAGAATTCAGGTTACCTAATTTTCAACCTCTAGAGTTGGTGTGTACAGCTCACCTAATCATTCTTAGATCCCGTTAGAACAGGCAGAAAATTAGGAAAGTATGCCTTTTTAAGGTTTAAGTGATCTGGCCTATGTAAAGCCCTTCTCTGGGACAAGAAGCGTCATGCGCTAGAAGGGACTGTCTTTTACGCTGACTACAAAGCAAATCCAGCGTGACTAGCTTAGCTGTCAGCTGAAAGTAATCAGATGAATCCCACACCTTGTGCCCGGTCTGTATATGTCTCTAGGTCTTTGAGTAGCTCCTGTTCCTCTGCATTCAGTGGTGACTTGGGAATTTTGGAGACTGTCTGCATTGTGTTGTCTTAGGGCATTTTATCTATCCCCCTACCCTTTTCCCTGGCCAGCCTAAAAGCATTGATTTTGTTCCCTCTGTGTTCCTATTTCTTCTATGAATTATTGTTGGGATTGAAGAGAAATTAGCATCCCAAAGACATTTCTATTCCATTTCTAAATACAACATGAGAAGTCCCACTCCCCTTATCAGGTAGGAGATACTATTTGCACCTTTCAGACTCAAGAAAGTTAAAAGTTTTTTTGGATTGTGCTTAAATAAATCCAAGAACAACAGACCTCAAAACAAAAACCAAGCTTCAAAGGCAAACAAACAAAAAAATTGATAAGTAGCAAAGAAAATTTCAGCCTTCACGGTTAAAATTTGACATTGCTGTAAGCAACTGTAAAACAGGTCTCTGAATAGGAAATCTTGCATGATGCTGCTGACTGTGCCTCTGATTTATACCTTATATCTTCCTGCAGATTGGGTCATATTTTGGGGGTGTTATTACCACAATTGACATCAACAGGGACTCATTTACAGACCTTCTTCTTGTTGGAGCTCCTATGTATATGGGAACTGAAAAAGAGGAGCAAGGGAAAGTGTATGTGTATGCTCTGAACAAGGTAAGGATGACATTTACTGGCCAGGAACAGACATTTTAAGCAAATATGATAGTGTGAGCTGAAGGAGACGGCCTGCTGAAAATGAAGAAACATAATTCTGACAATTAGGAGAGTATAATACAGGTTATTTTTTGGAAAATTTTCTCAAACTTTTGTTTTCTCACCTTTTTTCTAATATAGTATTTTATGTAAACAAGCAGTATGTCTTGCAAACTGCAATGTGGCATAAATGCAGATTTATAGGATTAATTTTCTATCCACGTTTTCTTTTTGCTTTCACACATTAGGGAGCTCTTCCAGTTAACTCAGTTGTGTCAGACTGGTATATGTATGTGATAACTGCACTTAGCTTCTGCCTGTGTCTTTCCTGTATATAGCCATAAGTTAGTGTCACACTCCCCCTCCCTGCTTTTCAGTATTAAATCTCTTTTCTATTACAGTCCCTGAAGGGAATTTGAGCGTTCTGTACATCACTTCTACTTCAGAGACTGTGCATAGATAAGTTTCTCCTTCTCGATGTCTATGAGTGCTTTTTCTTTCTTCTTTCTTTCTTCTTTTGGTGTAGTACCAAGGACTGCTATAACCATTATGAAGGTAGGTCTTAGAAGCACTGGTATCCTAAAATGCTATTGCAGGAAAAAGGCCTGAGGGGACTGGATCTATTTGACAAGGAACGGTTCCAGTCTCTACATGCATGTTGCTAACAACAACTTGCTGGCAAATAGGGCTGGCAAGAAAACAAGAATTCCACGTCCTTTAATGATGCGAGGGTTTGAAATCTGTTTTCCTTTTATCCATCTCCAAACAAAGGAGATGAAGCAACTTTTTGCTGCTGCTCATTTCTAACATGGAACCCACGGGGACAAACTCTTTCTTGGAAAGACTGGATACATAGCATACTGTATTTGGCGTTTTGATTTAGGATTCATGCACATTGGACACTGCTGGCCAGAATACATATGTAAGGACATGGAACATATATGTACTGAGTGTGTGTGCGTACTGAGGACAGAATTCAGCCTCTGTAAAAGAAATGCTGGCTTTGTTCTGGAATTACAGTACTGCCATCTGTGATCCATCATAAATTTGGCTTGCTTCTCAGACTAAGAGACCGCCTGTGGAAAAAATTTGTACACCAGCTTAAGAATTAAGTGATTTAATTATAATATCATTCAAATACTGTTATGATACTATGCTTTCATGTGAACCTGCAACTTCAAGAAATGTGTATAAACATCTAAATCCGGGAGGGGGAAGGGGGAGGGGGGAAGAGAGAGAGAGCACGTGAGAATCTTTCCCATTAGCTTCTTAAAAAGAACATTTGAATTATAGTTCCAGAATCACAGCTTTTCCAGCATGCTGCCATTATGAATGTGATGTAATTTTTCATTTAATTCATCAGTTTGTCTTCTGTGCAGGAGCTTTTAAAAATCTTCATTGCTGAAATGTTGATGGAAATCCACAAACTCTGAATTTATTCTTCCACAGACAAAGTTTGAATATCAGATGAGTCTCGAACCTGTAAAGCAAACGTGCTGCTCGCCATTAAAACATGACACCTGCAAAATTCTCAAGAATGAGCCTTGTGGTGCACGCTTTGGGACTGCGATTGCTGCAGTAAAGGATCTCAACCTTGATGGATATAATGACATTGTAATAGGATCACCCTTAGAGGATGATCATCGGGGAGCTGTTTATATTTATCATGGTCATGGCAACACGATCAGTAAAAAATATACACAGGTATGGAGTAAAAAAGGATTGACAGCTGCTATAAGTGTATGTAGTACAATCCTCATTTTTCTTTGTCTTTCCAACACAGCATCAAACTGACTTCACCTGTCATGACAGCTTCTTTTTTAAAATGCTCTATACTTTTCAACTCAGTCTGGTTTAACCAAATTTGACTCTAATATTGTTATAAAATATATTTCCATGTTTTCATTAGAAACCATCTAAAATGTTCTGTACAACCAGAAAATTAGGTATTTTGTAGTTCTGAAAATTTATAGTGTGTTCATCACCATAGTAACCCTTTCAGAAGTACCGTAATGAAAACGTAATATATTTGAAGAGTTTAAAAGCCCTTAAGTGCAAACAAATGCATCTTGAAGGTTTTTATAATATTCATCAATATACACTGCATAAACCCGTTAATGCTTTTCACAGCGTATTGCATCAGGTGGAGATGGGGAAAAAGTGAAATTTTTTGGCCAGTCTGTGCATGGAGAAATGGATTTAAACGATGACGGGCTGATTGATGTCACTATTGGAGGCCTTGGTGGTGCTGCCCTCTTCTGGTATGGATGCTAACAGTATCTGTCAGGGTAGAAGATAATAATGTATCATGTGATGCCTATGATTAATATCAGATTTCATCTCATACTTTGACACTAGCTGTGAATCGTAATATTTTAATGTCTCTCTGGAGGAAACAGTATAAAATTTAATGGATAATAATAACACATACAGAAATATTTTAGGAACCTTGTTAGCCAAGTATGAAGATCGTCTCCTAGATCATTTTCAAAATAGAAACTTATTCCATTTGTGGAACAAAGTATAACAGAAAGAAAACACATTTATTCTTTTTATTACACTGTATTGCATATTATCTTCCTAGCAATACCAACGGCAGGTTCAAATATAAAGGGGTTACTAAGAAAACTCTACTTTGGCTCCCTACTGAGAAACTTGGAAATATTACACTAAACATTCTGGTGAAGAGCGAATTCATTTTCTTTACCAAAACACAATTCAGATGGTTTAACGAACAATATATTATTAAAGGGAGAAGAAAAAAATACCAGTAAGATAAACAAACATGATAACATGTAATCCCTCATTCCTAAAGCAAAACTTAATAGCTTTCTATTTCACAATTCTCTCCCTGGTAAAGCAGTTGCTAAGCCAGCTGATTGCTTTCACTGTTGTGCAGTTACACCAAACTCACCATTTGGTTTGTCAGGTCTTGCTGGATAGCAAGGCCTGTCTCAAGTTGCCAGCTGCTCCTCACCTTGATCTGCTAACTTATCTTTCTAGAAGCCCTGTGCATCAGTAGACTGCAGCTTTGCTCACTTTTTCTGCTAGTTCATCTCTTAGCAAAAATGCGTAAGAAGTTAAAGACTAATACTGTTCTCCTGCAAACAGGAGATTTTCAGGGAGCTTCTCCCATTTCACAGCTTACAGAAAACTCCCTAGCAAAGCCATATTTCTGTTTTATTTTCCTGACTTTTAGCTCTTACCGCCTAACAAAAGTGTCACACAAAGTATTAATCCTTTTTAAATATATCCTGTTGCATTGTGTTATAGTCTTTTCATCTTTTACCCTTCTAGCCCATTGCTTTGCCTTTCCCAGATGTTTTGCCTTTTAGGACTTCATCTCCACAAAATTAGTAGGACAGCTCTCAGCACAGAGAAGAATGCTTCAAAGTCTCTGTAGGATCAGGTTCTAAGACTGTAAGATGATTTGGAAGGAAACTCAATGTTGCTGACTCCAGACTTTTAAAAGTTGTGACCCACAATCCTCACAGAAAGAAAACATTACTTGTATTTTAATATCATAATAAAAGGTTAGGGATTTCCTGGTTTATATCTTCAACCCTCAATTTTGATGACATTTACAAACTCTTTTCTAAAATAATGACAAGATAGATTATTTCTTTATTTTTATGAAAGCTGAGAATCCTCCATTACTGATGACCTCTAGAATGTTAAGCAAACTACTCACTGTTTAGAATAAGACTTTCAAGGGCTTTTCTGGGGGGAATTGATGTTTTCTGCAAATTTGCTACTACTTGATTCAGTGGATGTCTGATCTGTAGTAAGTCTTCAGAAGAGTAAAAGAATCATTTTTCTGGCCAGCTGTATGTAGTGCTTACAGCAGCTTTTGATCCTTTACATTAATATAATTTATTGTCCCTGAAGCGTGGATTGAGTTTGCCAGTTTATATGTTGGAAGCATCAAAAGTAACAAAAATTTTGGGTGTTTCTTTCTAAAGATCTGAATCTCTAAATAATATATTTACCGACTGGGGACACAGCGCAAATCCCACTGATTCTTGATGAGATTTGGGATCCAGGGTGTTTAAAGGCTCTACGGTCGGGTTAGTGTAGCTTGGCGAGTCACTGTGTGTTAGCTGACCATCGAAAGTGGGAAGTAAAATGCTTTTGCTTGAGATTCTTTCATGGAAGTTGAAGTTAATGCCTACTGCTTCGTATTTGCTATGGACATAGGCGTACGTCATTCAGAAAAGCCTGGCATTCGCGTCTGCCAGGGACAGGGCTGGCTAAGCAGTCCCTCCCAATCCTCGCGCTCTTTCCAAAAGCTTGTGCAGCCGTGCAGGGAGCTGGGGCATTGAGCTCGAACAAAGATCACCCCGTCCCCTTCCGCATGCTGTTTTCAAGTCATTTTTTAACTTTGACCTGATGCTCAGTCTGGCCACCATGCAGCAGCATCAAAACATTCATCCATTTAAGTTAAGGGAGGGCAACAGCAAGAGCAAAAATAACAGCAAGAGCAAAAACTGCTCAAGCTGCTTCAGGAAGCGGCTGGGTCGGCGACCTGCCGCCACAGCTCCTGTCCTTCTCCCTGCCAGCCACCAGTGCCTGCGGTCAGGGCTCACCTGCCCCCTCCCTGTGCTGCTTGAGTCACAGAGCTGAAGAAAGATACTTTGCCAGCTGCTTTTCGGCTGATTTAGCATGCTGGGATAGTGTGTATTGAGCTCAGACAAGGAACTGAGCCAGAGCAAAGTAACGCATTGCGGGCACAGGAGTGAAGGGCAAAGGGGAGCTAAAGTGGTGCAGGTTGCTAGTGAGTCTCAGCTTGTTTATCATAGTCTAAGAGCTGATATGCTGTCCTCCATGGGAAGGACAGAGGAATTTCTTCCTCTGTGGCTACTCTTGAGAAAGGGTCTGAGTCTTCAGAAATGGAGCTTTTTGAAATGTCAAAATGTGTTTTGAAACAGAACTGGCTCTATAATTGCTTAAACACTTTTGAAAATCTTTCCTTTAATCTCGTATCTGTTCTGTAAGCAGCACAGCACTGTAGAGAAACCCTGTGACCATTTTGTCTTTAATACATAGTTTGCTAGTAGTATGTATAAACTATGTCATTAAATACCTGTCTACATCATCAAATATGTGTATTTTAATGTCCAGGATTGCACATTTTATAAGTTCATTTTTTTAAAGTTATAAAAGTTATTGCTGTTATGTTCAGGGGATTCTTTCCCTTTTTGTCTTTTTGTTAAGGTCTCGTGATGTGGCTGAAGTAAATGTTTCCATGCAATTTACACCCAGAAGCATCAATATCCAACAGCAAAACTGTCAGATAAATAAAAGGAAAACAGTATGCATAAATGCCACAATTTGTTTTAAAGCCAGACTAAAATCTAAGGAAGATACGTTTGAATCCAGTAAGTAGACAAGCACTAAGCAAAGGAATCTTTGCATATAAAACTGTTACGTTCACATTAGTTTACTTCTCAAAAAGCGGAATGTAACTCTTTTTTAAGTTCAGTATTCAAAGTGCATTTACAAAATTGGCAAAAAAGAATGTGTGGAGGCAAATTTGGTCGTAACACTGATCTGAACTTCCTTTGCAGGTCTACAGTATTGGATTACTCTTGACTCACAAAGACAAATATCTCGAAGCTTGTTCACAGAGAGCCATGAGAGGAAAATGCAAAAAAATATTACCATCAAAGGGTCAGAGTGTATTAAACATAACTTCTACATGTTGGCAAGTAAATCATTTAAAGTGGCTATGTTTTTCTCATGTTGATATTGTAATAGGCCTTAAATATTTTGTATTATTTATAAACTGGATGAAAATTCTGCATCTAGAATTATATTTAAGTGTACCTGGAATTTTTTACTATTTAGGATTTGTATATTTGTGTATGTGTATAGTTATAAACTATTTATATGTACAGTCTATTTACTGTTGTCTCTGTTGTGTATCTCTCTTTAGAAAGAGCATGACACATTTAGGTGAATTCAGCAGCCATAGTGGTTAGTAGATTAGATGCATTCAATACTCAGCAGGAGCATGGGGGCTGAAAGGGTAGTTTGCATACTGGTGCAATTCCTTCTAGTGAAATGATATAATCAAAAAACCCTCAAAGTAGGTTTGGGATAAAGAATACTAATACACTGTAAAACAGGAATGTGATTAGCAACTGCAGGTATGAGATTGCCCAGATTATAACTAATGTGCAAAGTGAACAGAGATGTATATTATAAGCTGCCTACATTTAAAACACTTAGCAGTTTTACAGTTGTAGCCGAATTCAAGACCAATGATAAATGTTACCTAGTATTTGCTTGAATATGCAATACATTTCCTAATTTTGACCTCACACAAGATGCTGCTGCTCCTGTTCATCTTACTGATCCTTTAAGCACAATAAAAAAAGAAAAGGTCAAGCTGACATTTCTGAGACATTCTTAAATAAATCTGTGTTGGAAATGCTTGGGCTGTGTGACATTTTTATGATGAGATGAGACACACAAAAACATCAGCAGGTATTTATAAGGTTTGGCTTATGCACTAAATGCTTTGTCATCAGTTGCAGGCATTTGAATGCTTTCTTAGCACAGTAAAGATGGCAACAGTGTGACTGGAAAATATTTTGTTTCAGCATTCTGTGGGTTTTTTTATCCTCTTTCAGTCTCTTAGATATTAAAGTGAATGTCCATAACAGTAATTTCAATTTCTTTATCTGCTAGGACAAGCCTGATTTTCAGGACTCTGTAAAGGTTTTGCTGGAATTCAATTTTTCTGACCCAGAGAGTGGACCTGTTCTTGATAGCAACTTTCCAAATTCAATATATGAATATGTAAGTCAGTAAGAGTCTGTATTAATAACCAAAGTGTTTAAGGTAGAGTTCATAGCCCACACAAGATCTGAATGTATTATCCGTAGACTGGCTTTAGAGGAAGGGTGGCTGAGCCTGTCCGGAAGGTGTTTGCTCCAAACAAGTCTGCAGGAGTGAAGAGCTCAGTTCAATGACCTTGGGGAACCAGCACTGGGTTTTAAAGCTGTCCAAAGTTAACAGGAGATAAAAGACAGTACAAGCCATTTTACTGTCTGTTTTATGTGGATAGAGCAGGGGAATGTTAGTCATATACTTTGGGTAGTGCTAGGCATTGTTCATACTTTTACTATTGACTCTTTTTGTAACCTACATGTTTGTAACTTCTAAGGGAGTGAGTAGTGAGGTTATGTTTCACCTGCACATTTTACATGTACTGATTAGTATTAGAAAAGACTTCTTTGACTGTCAGACAGAAGACCTTTTTATGTAAAATAAGATAATGAATTAAATGTAAGTATTTAATTTTGATAATAATGTAATAAAATTGAGAAATTACTATTGTTGCAGATTCCTTTCACAAAAGATTGCGGAGCCAAAAATAAATGCATTTCAGATCTTGTTCTGAATGTAAAAGCGAGCATAGCTGGAGACAGGTAACCACACTGGATTTATTGTATCACTTGATATCTGTACAAAATTTCTATGTAAATTATAAATTCTATGCTCAAATAAGATAACGCTATGGCATAGTTTCCAAATCAGAAACAAAATAGTCTGGCCACAGAAAGAATTTCCTTTTTATTTTAAAAATAGATTTAAAGTTAAGATGTCCAACAAACTTATTTTATTTTACAGCTCTTCTCCATTCATTGTGAAGTCACGCAATGATAAGTTCACCATCCAACTATCTGTCAAGAACAAAAAAGACAGTGCCTATAATACCAGAGTTTTGGTTCAGTATTCTCCAAATATTATTTTTGCTGGAATTGAGGTAGGAATTTTTTACTTTTCTCTTTATCATAATCTATATTGCTAGGGAGATCTGAGGAATCCTTTATATTAAGGCCTGAACTTTACTGCTCTGGCATCCTCTCAGTTGATTGGAAGAGCTGGCATTGGGAGTGCCATCCTCACTTATACATCTAAGACAGCGTATTTATTTTGACCTGGGTGGACTATGGCTTCTCCTCCCTTAATGACAGACACAAGTTTTACAATGGCACTAAGACGGAAAGTAAACGCCTGCATCTAAGAGATGAATACCAAAATCGCAAATCCTTTGTACATCTATAGACCCAGATGTGCCTCATTAGTCTTCAGTACAGTTCCTGTGCTCCTTGAATTCTCCTTTTGCATATGTACAGGAAAAGCATTGTCTTGGAAAGGCAGCACAGCTCAGTGCCTGCCTCATCCCTGCCTCAGAGATCTTTTCCAAAGTAACTGTTTTTCTGCCTACCTTCACAGAAGGGCCTGGCTCAATATGTAGGCTAAGAATTCACCCCAGCTCAGGTGGTAAACATTTGAGAAGTTTGTTTTCGGTCAACAAACCTGCTGTTACCTGAAGAATATTATGAGAAATCAAGGGTCCATAGCACTGTTTGTGACCCTGTGGCCATAATTTATGAAGCATGAATGTCATTTTTGTTCCCAAGTTAGGTACACAGTTTCCAAAATTACACATAAATACTGTATACTGTTAGGCCCTGTGACTAATTTACATGATGCCCAGTTTGCATATAATAAATGCTAACATTGCAAACACTTTCACTGGAAGGTAATAATGGCAATTAACCGATGTGGATGTCCACAGGTGGGAACTGTTTTGCAGATGTTGTAGCTTCCTATTTTAGTTCCAGTTCAGCTAAGACTTTAACTCTTAAAATGTTCTGATGATGAAAAGTGACAGTGATATATAGGTTTGATAAACTGTTGATGATTTATTTGCCTGGTCAAAATTTAACAAGTGTTTGCACATGCTCAAACTACAAAAAACTGATTTCACTTTCTTTTCTGTTTAGGATATTCAGAAAGATAGTTGTGAGTCTAATCACAACATCACCTGTAAAGTGGGATATCCATTTCTAAAACCTGCGCAAGAGGTAAAATGTTCTCATGCGTGGAAGTTTTCCCTGCTCTCTGCTGTTCTAAGGCCGAGATAGCCCACCTTGGCCTTAGTTATAATGAGTAAGGAAATTTTGTGAGACCTAGTAGTAATTTCTTTATACTATAAACAGTTTTGCTCAGTACTTTAGGTGTTTTACAATACACTGTAAGTGAAATTCCAGCAGCCTTCTCTAGGCAAGTCATCTCCACTGTGGTTACCAAGCTTTGGCATTTAGTTCCTTCTCCAGACAGTGGAGAAAAAAATGGTTTTGGTAATAGCTTGCAAGATCATCCGATTTCTATTAAGAAACATTTAGCTATGTATTTCTAATACAGTATGTAAGAAGTTTTACTGAGATTTCTCAGTTCTGAAAATTTGAAGCTATTGTTAATAAAGTGGTGACTATTAGATTTCCTTCTTGTTTGGGGCAAAATCAAAAAAGTAGATTCCTTCATAGAAAAGGATTAAAATGTGCATAATGATTCCACAGATACGAGTACCAAAATCTAGCTCACTTTTCATCAGATGAAACCTTATTACTGTGCTTTTATTTCCTTTATTGCCTTTAAAAATGTGTAATTTATTTCTTCAAACAGATTTCCTTCAAAATATCATTCCAGTTCAATGCGTCTTATCTCCTGGAAAATGCTACAGTTCATGTATATGCAACAAGGTTAGTTGCAGTTGTTGCTTTTTATCTTGTGCTCTTTGTGTTTTGTAGTAAAACAGGGATTACTTTTCTAAACTCAGAAGAGGTTAAATAATCTGTAGAGCAGGCAGCTTTAGAGAGGTGCTAAAGAGTAACAAGCAGTAGGTCAAGCGGACTAAACAGCTGTTTGCCTCCAGCACCTGTGAGTCGCAAATGAATCAGAATTCACAGGAGTTTTAGCTTCAGAAAAGTTTTAATCACTTACAAAATTACTACAGATTTTAGCATAAATTGCGGTCTATGCTATGGAAGGGCCCAGCCCTTAAACAGCACCAGCACTGCACAAGTTTGCCTTGATAGACCTGGGTGGGTCAGTGGAACACGCTGGCCCTCAGTGTTTGCTGTTCCTGGAAAATCTAGGGGTGGTGTGAGAGTAGCGGCCGGGATGTGATCCATTGTCATTCAGTCAGCTACGGTCTGTATTCTCTTTTTAACAAAGATGCGTCCCTGAGCTGGGGCTCATGCAGGACTTACCTTTTTAGTTGCTGGAAATAGCCTTTCAAATTTATTTTTAGTATCTAAGAATTAACTGGAAGTGAGTAGTGTGTTTTTGTATGCAGAACTGTAAGTATTTCAGTCTCTCCGGTAGTCCTACTGTGTGTGTGCAGATGAATACCATAATCTGATCCAAGTGGCACATGTTTTGTTTCAGTGACAGTGAAGAACCACCTGAGACCTTGACTGACAACAGAGGACACGTTACAATTCCAGTAAAATACGAAGTAGGATTAATATTTGTAAGGTATTCATGCTTCTCCATGCTTCTAATTGCTAGCATAGAAAATAGCAGGTGTTCAAAGATAATGTAATATTATTTTGCTGTTGAGCTGTGCTTGATTAAGTGTCTAGATATGACAGCCTCTAGTCTCTTGAACAGGAAGCACAGACTTAATTGAAACAGTAGCTGTACGAAATAATGGAGCAGTCACTGTCCCTGTCAGGCTGTAGCTTCTTCTTATCTACTTAAATTTGATCTACAGTTTACGACTACAACAGCAGCTTTTGTTGACTCTCTCATACTTTGGTCCATTTGTTCGGAGTATTTCAGACACATAAGAAAGCATACTTCCAGCTTCCCGGCAGCTAGGAATTTTTATCACTGTGGTAATGCATGGTATGCTGTTTTCTTTCCAGCTTCAAAAATTATCCGTAATTTTAGTTTCTTTGAGGGTTTTTTATTAGTTCAGACACAGATTTTAATGCAGGTCTTGTAGTACACTGTTTTCAGGAATAACTGGAATTCAGTTAAATTCTGTCTGAAAAACAGGTATAGTATGTATAAATAATGTCAATAGAATACAGTGCATGGTGTGTGAGTGTGAATAATTACGTTAAATTCATTTTGGATGCATTTCAGAGTTCAAATCCAGCCTTCATTTGTCCCATATGGGACAAGGTTGAGCTTAGCTGGTTTTGCTCTGCTTTTTCTTTGTTCTCTCTTTTTTAGGAATCTTGCTGTTTCACAAGGCAGTACTAGAATAAGGAACAGCGTAGCTAGAAGGAGGATGGCATAGCCAGGCCCTGAAGCATCATTTGTGGGAGCAATATTTGCCTATTTCTAGTTTTAACTGAAAACATTTGAAATATACGTATTAGTTTAAAATTAAACAGTGCTACTCAGAAAATGGATGAATTGTACTTTAGTGGCAAAACTAGTCTCGGAGAATTAATAAAATAATGAAAAGATCTATATAATTAATTAGTAGAGTTTATTGGGGTTTTTTTGCTTATTGTTTGTTTGTTCTTTAACCTGCAGTGTTCCCAAAGAGTACCATGTTATAATTGCAGCAAACGATACCATCCCTACTGCTATTAACACAACTGAGAATATTGGGGATGAGGTTACTCTACTTTACAGGGTAAGAAACAATTCAAACTACGTGGTACAGGTGCTGGCTTCCAATCTTTTCACCTAGTTTGACTCACTTAATGTGATAACCTATTACTTAAGTAGCGGGTATGCAATACATTAAACCTTCTATATGAGTGTTTTGTGCTTAACTCTTTTTTTTGCTGTCTTGCTTAGGAATAACGCGAGTCAGTGTGGTCCATCGTCTGTGGAATAATTCCAGTGGGCTTTAGGGCTGCTGCCTTTAGCAGGAGAGGGAAAGCATGTGCTAGTAAATTAGTTGACCTAAATTCATTACAGTTTGGAACACGTATTTCCAAAAACCTATCAGTTTTGAAAAAGAGAAATACCATGCTCTAAGAACATTGCCTTCCTAATTGCAAGAACATTGCAACTAAAATCACTCAGAATGGAAAAGATATTTGGTGGACCAGAAGCCCAGTCTCAAGGGTTAGTAGGACTGAACTTAGTTCTTTTGAAAGCATCCCTATTTCCCAGTGTCGTGTCCAAAGCTGAACAAGGGTCCCCTATTCAAAGAATAAAAGTCTCTATATCATCAACTTTCTGTCTATAAAAAATGGGTGATGGAAGGGTCTAGCTCTCTCTATACAGCAATGTCAAAGGTTTTGTTGTATATCTTAGCCGACCTACAGTGTTTACTTGGCTTCTCTTTTTAGCTAAAAAGTCTAAATCCAGTAATTCCAAGGCTTTTGGTGGATGTTTAAGACATTATTCATCTGATTTCTAAATCTTACCTTTCTGAATATAGAAGGGAGCTGTTGGACTGCAGAGCGTATCATTTAGGATCTACTAAGAGTAACTGATCTCTGCAAGCAGCTTATCATAAACAAGCAGGCAGAAGAAAAAATTGAGAGGGATCTTGAGTATTTATTAAGCTCATCTGCTTCTGAGACATGATCACCAATTTGCCTGCCAAGAATTCCACTGATGCCTTTTCTCCATCCCCTGCCATAGAAGGCCTATTCTGAAGGAGCTGCAGTTTATAATTATATCCTGTGACGTGGGGAATGCATGTCTTCTTAGGGGAAAGAGGGGGAGGGAGTGGATATGCAGGAAGGCTGTTGCCTAAGCACACCTGGGGAGGAACCACAAGGAGTCACCGCT